CTGAAGAACCGAGATGATGATGATGATTGGGTTGATGAATGCCCGCATTCGAACTATATTGCTGAGAGGAGGTTCCGTGAAGTGTTAGGCGGGTGTTAGTTTCAGGATTCAATGTGCCGTCATCTTTCCGCTAATGATGTGCATGTGAGGCACAGACCAAGAAGCGATAAGACGATGGTGAACGAAACATGATAAATATGGAATGATCATGTTTATTCATTATTTCTGAGTACACTGTAACGTTACCACATACTGATTCTTACCGAGCTTGCCTCCCATCCCTTCCCTCCGTTTAATAACATCCAATCGTAAATACCGTCTTCTGCCTCGTTGGAATTTTTCAAAACCTTGGTGAAAAGTTCTCTCAAGTAATCATAGTCGGGGTTATCTTCGAAGCCAAGCTTACGAACATAGTGGAGATAGGTTCCAAACTCCTCTGTGTAAGAAACACCGATAATTGTTGAGATTCCATGTCCCCGCGGTGGAAAATATTCATGACTCACAAGCAACACAAACCTGGAAACCCTTCGCACAATTCTTTAATGGGAGTTGACTGCTTTTTTTCCCCAATTTTTTCATACTTTTGTTTATTTGTGGCTGCCTTAAGTCCTTGCCACGGTAGGCCACCCCTTAAAAAGTACATGAATACATGACCGAGAGCTTCCAGATCGTCACGTCTTGATTGCTCTAGGCAAAGTAAGGGGGAGGAGGAGGGGAAATATGTTTTTTGTTTTTCCTTAAGCACAAGAATTACGAGACGAGATGAAACAAGAAAGAGAGCGAGGGTCACGTCTACAGTGTAAAACCAAAAGCTCACCTCTTCCCAAGTGGGTGTTAATACTCATGTACCTAGCCGTTCCGCTTAAACTCTTCCTTTCTCGATATGGAATATGCTGCTTGGTCTTTGGATCACGGTATTGTTTGGCCATACCAAAATCGACAACATGGATTACATTGGCATTTTTTGTTCCGGGACGACCAATCAGAAAATTATCTGGTTTAATATCACGGTAGATGTGATTCTTTTCATGAATGGCTTGTACTCGTGTAAGCTAATTAGCAATCACAACATACACGAGAAAATGATTTCGACATCGCAACAAAAAATATGAAGTAAAACATTAAGGAAAGAAAAAGAAGATAGGAAAAATTCCAATGGTGTAAAAAAAAGCAAGGAGAATATATGTTTAATGATGACCGTGTACTATATCTCCTACCATTTGTTTGGCTACCATAACCACTGTTTTAATACTGAATTTTCTTCCACACATATCAAACAAATCTTCCAGACTAGGGCCGAGGAGATCTATGACCAGTATGTTATGCAGACCTTCTTGACCAAAATAGTATACTGCTGGTATGCCCGCTAAAAAAATTCGAATTACACAATTGGTCATATACACGACTATGCATTTCATTTCTTGTTCACGACGAAAGGATCGGGAAGCACTTACGTGATCCTGCTAGAATTTTGTACGTTCGGTATTCGTCTCGAAGTTGAGGTGCATCGCTCTTTCGAGGTTCCTGGTTTTAAAGTGTTGTGATCCGATCGATAAATAACTTTATTCTCTGTTCATATGCATAAAAATATTCGCCAACAGTAAGGAAATTATGTATAACATACGAATTTTATGGCAACTTGTTGATTATTTAACAAATTTGTTCCTGAATTCAACAGAGAATTGGTTTAAGAAAAAAAAAAAAAAAAAAAAAAAAAAAAAAATTAGAATGAATATTGACAGAAGTATTTAGCACATTTTGCGACTTGAGATCAGAATGGATTTGCTTTACTCCGGATTCAATCCAGAATGAAAAAATTTTTTTATCAGGTCGCTTTTCAGTGGCCCATCAAATATAAGTTTTTAGGTTAGAAAATAAGCAAGGAGAACGACTTATTCTTCGAGAATATTTTTTGATTAGGAAATCAAAAAGGAAGAAAGATGAAGCGACTGTTATTCTTCTGATGTCGCAGGTTGGCATCTTACGTTTGAACAATCGTAAGGAAGAAAAATAGGTATTCAAAAGAGTCGACCAAAGTCGAATCCAAATACATATATATATATATATATATATATATATATATATATATAATATAGTAGGTGTACTGGAGAAGTACTTTCTACTGACTGATGAGAAAAGGTTGTAGATTTACCTTCAAAGATGATACCGAAACTCCCTTCACCAATCTTCTTTCCAACTCGGTAGTGCACACCCACTACATTAGAGTGTAGGCTATGTGAACTATTGGCCATGCTATTTGACACGTGGTGGTGATGATTCGCTGCCATCTTACTCAGTTAATTATTTTTATGGGAGAAGGAAGTATCTCGCTTGTTAAAGCGTCGTATATTTCGGGGTGGTGGGATAACTGTAAACACCAAAGATGGTGAATTGTGGAGGTATAGTAAAACTGCCAGAGGATTTACTATGGATTTTTTTTTTTTTTTTTTTTTTTTTTTTTAGTACAGATAAATCTACCTGAGCTTAATTTAAAATCGCTTCTGATAAAGGGAGAGAAATGTCTAAAGACGCGAAAGAAGAGGAAGACGAAAGGCCGATTGTGAAAAGCAAAGAGAAAATTTTTTTGCTTCAAATGTATAGAATGGTTACTATAGTGGAAAATGTCTGGAATGTAGAATCGGCTTCTACGGATTAACATTGTATACGTTACCCTACAGAATGGCGTATATATAATATCAATTTATCAAGTTTTATACAATTGGATGCCAAGTGCCGAAAATAAAAAATTTGACATACGTCCAAATCTTTGTCACGTGATTTAATACTAAAAATCTTGATAATTTTTTTTTTAAAATGCAATAATTAATAGTTAATAAAACAGTTGACTATGATTCGATAGATTCGATAACCAAAGGGCCGCCGGGACCGAATGACTGGATAAAGACCGGACTAAACTGGGTGGTAACATACTATTGAAAAAAAAAATAATAATTTGATATGTGCAGATTTTTCATTGCAAAAAATTCATGGCAACACAAAATACGCTGACCAAAGAAGCTACCATAACACAACTATTCGGAGATGTTGAAAGATTTGTAAATCAGGGAGATTATTCAAAAGCCTTTAGGCCAATTGATAAAAGTATGTTTTGCACCGCACGGCCAAATCCATTTCCTCATTACGATTCAGTTTCCAAGTTAAATTATATTTTTAGTTCTTCAACTGAATCCAAATGACAATGAGGCGCTGCAATGCAGAGCTGTTACGTACATTCGACTTGAAAAGTATCAAAGTGCTCTGGATGTCCTTACCAAAGGTTTCCCCGACGATAAGTTCATACTCGAAAAGGCTTACTGCCTTTACAGGTTAAATCGTTTTTCTGAAGTGGCAGAGCTCCTACGCAAATGCAGAGTTGAAGGATACAGCGATCTAGGAATACGATACTTGGAAGCTCAAATGGTTCGTATACGATGCGTCTGATAGTTGTTCTATTTACTCATCAACCATACTTTTTATTAAAATAAGGCATACAAAGTTGAAGACTACGATACTGCCCTTGAAGTATATCACAAATTACTTCAAGAAACAGACAAGGTTCACCATAAGATTTGCCATTTGTAACATTTATAAACGTCAAATTTAATCGAATTTATCCTTGACCTCCATCAGAAAGATGACACGTATAATGACATTCTAACAAACTTTGATGCTGCTAAAGCCGCATTATTATTTTCTGGAAACAACGTGCCGGAAAAGGTGAGAATGAATATTATGGATGTCGATATCTCTGGCATCTATACTGATCAATCTATGCACATCAAGTATGCAACGGAGGATTCTCACAACACATATGAATTAGCCTATAACTCTGCTTGTGTGCACATTGGTCAAAAAAACTTGAAAAAAGCCGAAAAATTGCTATTAACGGCCAGAAGTATATTACTTTTATACATTTATACGGTTAGATCACAGATGGTAATTCATATTTTATGTAGGGATGTGTAAGGAATCACTTTCTGAAGAGGATTATAGTGAGGAGGAGATTGAGCAGGAATTGAGCACTATTAATGTGCAACTGGCATACGTTTTTCAACTTCAAGGCCAAATTTCCGAAGCGATTGATATATATCAATCCGTGCTCAAATCTAAGTGAGTTGTCGTTTATAAATCTTGTTATTGCACATCACGCTTTCTAAATTTCTCGTTTTTTAAGGGGCGTTGATATCACGGCGTCAGCGATCGCGTCCAATAACTTGGTGGCGGCTAAAAAGGATACCGAATTGTTTGATTCAGTCCGTAAAATAAAGGTCGCGAGTGCGAATGCGTTGGAAACTAAATTATTCAGAAGTCAGCGTCGTATAATTGCGATGAATGAGGCATTATTATTGTTGTACATGCATAAGGTTAGTATGCGCTGCTATCTTTGTCAAAATGTGTGTTATGAACTAAGATAAAAAAATATCAATTTTTAGTATGCCGCATGTCATGATGCAGTTCGCAAGCTACTACAAGTCTATCCTGAAAACGATGATCTATATCTCATAATAGCTTCAACATCTTATCATCAAAAAAAGAATGCAAAAGCTATTCAAGATTTGCAGGAATTTGCAAAGACAAGGCCTCATTCTTTATCAATCAATTTTGCTTTGATGCAACTCCAAATTTTGCAATCTAATCCTTTAGCTGCATTGGAAACTTTTGAAAGTTACTGGTCTTCAATTAAGGATGAAAAAGAAAAATATAAACCCGGTTATGTAGGATTGTTAGTGTGGTTATATGAACAAGCCAAGAAACAAGAAAAGGCCGTACAGGCGTTAGAACAAGCTAGTGCATTTTGGAAGAGTGAGGCTATTGTACGCAATCTTGATGAAAGTTTGTGCCTTAAGCCTTATTCACTATTTTAATGACTACGAATAATATTTAATTTGGTAGTCCGATGAGAATACATCCATTCTTAAACAAACGGCAGCATTCAAACTCAAGATAGGACGATATCGTGAAGCAGCACAAGATTATGAACAACTCGTCAAAAATGATCCGTTAGATTCTCAAGCACTGGCAGGTCTTGTTGCCGCATATTCGCAGTATGATATTTCTCTTGCTGAAAAATACGAGAGTTCCTTGCTGGAGATAGGTACACCAATGGATATTGATGTGGAATCTTTGGAAAAAGTCGTACCTGGAATCAAGAAAAGTTATATAAAAAAGACGGATACTAAGGCCAGGTATCGTATATTAAATTTTGATGTCACATTTTATTATAATTATTATAATTTTGGTTATTAAATTTTTTTTTTTTTTTTTTTTACTTTTTCAGTGACGGTCCAGCAAAAATAGCGCTTCGAAAGAGAAAACGAAAACCTTTACTTCCGAAAAATTATGATCCTAGTGTTCCACCAGATCCGGAACGTTGGCTTCCAAAACGTGAGAGGACTACCTATAAAGTTAAGGGTAAAAGAAAACAGCAATTGATGAAAGGATCTCAAGGAACAGCAGTTACTGGTGGGGGCATAGGTGGTACAGGTAGTGCTAACATTTTTGGACGAAGGTAAATTACATGCATGTTTCTTCCCATTTTGGATTCAAGCTAACAACATTTTCTCTTTGACACTTAGTAATGTCCCATCATCTGAAGCTACTGTTGTTTCATCGACGATCCAACAAGAGCAGCCCTCACAGAAGTCGAAGAGTAGTGGTGGTGATAAGAATAAAAGAAAGAAAAAAAAGGGAGGCAATAAGTGGTAATTACTGCTTATGATAACGCAGTGTGGTACCAAAAAAATAAAATAAAATATTGATAAAATAAAAAGAAATAAATTTGAATAATTACTTATTTATTTGTAATTAGCATTATTTTCTGTATATTTTTTATTATTTTCTTTAGTCTATCAATAAATGATTTACTAATTCTTATCATTATTATAAACAAGTTTTTTTTTTTTTTTTTTTTTTTTTTTGTAATTATCTATAGTCAGGTTAAATTATCAGTTTATTAATCAAAAGAATATATACAGTTGCTTTCAAAAGTTTAAGTCCACTTACTATGTTTTTATTATAAATTTTAACTTTATCAATTTTTAAATCCTTAATTATATAATTGAAAATTATAAAATTCACATATATTATACCTTAATACTTTGATTTATTTTTGAAGAATTATGATTGGTTATTACCATAAATCATATGATAATTAATAAGAAAAATAAAAACATTTATTTTTATTTATTTATTTATTTTTTTAATTAATTATATTAACTAGATTTTATTAATCAGATTGAAGATTGTACAGATTGTTTTACAAGAGTGATTCTTATAAATTCTAGCTTATACTATCCTAACCTGATTCAAATTACCTAATTCTATCTATTAAGGATAGGAATTGCAACAGATCAAATCAAATCAGATTGAATTTTAGGTAAATCTGATCTGAATCTGATCAGATTAGTTTTTAGTTGATCTGATTCATATCCAAACAAATTTATTTTTATTTAATCTATTCAGTTAATCTGATATTTTTTTTTAATCATGTTTTTTTTTTTTTTTTTTATTCATTTTTTCCTACCTAATATTTACTTGCCATTTTTAGGTTTTATATACAGTATAAACATTTAGTTAATAATTTATATTTTTAATATTTATAATTTATTACTATTTACAATTATTTTCTTCTAAATTAAAATATATATCTATATAATTTAAATTTTCTGCAATACTGTTACTACCTTGGTTTTTTTAATCGATTCTTCCAATGCTAGCAAAACAAGGAATCTTGTTGCAATTACTCTTATTAATACATTATATATATATATTTTTTTGATATCTATTTTCTATTTTTTAATTACTGTTACTATTTTTTTTTGCCAGGTTTTATAATAATCCACTAGTTACACATTCTTTCAGCAAAACAGTTATGCTATGTAACTCTTTTTCTAGCCAGCAAAAAAGAATATTACCTTGTATAAAAATTTAAATAAAAACTTAGTATTTTATATTTCAAACTTTTTTATCGTTTTTATAAAAATACCTGTCATCTCTACTTTTATTCTCCATTTAGCTATATAGAAGTTGCTTCCATTGAAATTTCCTTCTTAACAAGTAAATTCTGGATCACTTTTGAAGCAAATTCCTCTCTCAGGCAGCTGGTTACAATTACATGGTTCAGGAAATTTGTTTTGGTATGGACAAATTTGCTATATTTCCAGGATGCATATGCTTCACAGAAATCCAAGAGATGATTAAGTTTGATTTCATTTTTATCATAAAAAACTGAGATATCTTTTTCAACTGTTCTATACTTGTTTTCATCTAATTTTGGAAGTCTATGTTTAACAATTTTTTGCTATATACTTGAAGTCACATTGGTAGAAAAAATACCTATTGCATAGTTAAACAGGAGGCTGTTCATCATAACAATTTTTTCTTTATATAGGTACTACTGATTTGTTTCTCATAACTCTTTTGGTATATTGAAAACATGTGTAAAAATTCTACATTCCCTTGTTAATAGATATTTAAAATTTGTTGTCAGTACTGCTTAAGTATGAAATTAAACATATATGAATTTTATATACTCAGTAGCTGCCAATGCTCCTTGATTAAGTTTCAATATATCATCAGATTAGATAACCTTTTTTCATAGTTAAAACATTTCCAGCACTGTACCTTGCATAATATTTAAAACTTTAGGTTCAATCCAATTATGATATAAGGCAAGCACCACCTTGCCTGAATCTTTGTCACAAATTATAATTTCCTTATTTTTTTTTATTATATTTGATAGGCAAGAGGCAATATCAATGGCTTTTACATATGAAGACAACGGATTTACTTTTTCGTATATCCACTTTTCTTTGATTTTTTTTTTTTATTATATTTAGGTAGGGGTCCAGAAAATATTGTTTTTACTTTATAGGCATTGGCAAAGTATTTTTGTGTCATCAGGTTCTCCCTTACCTGAAATATAAAGGTGTTAATTAGGTTTTTTATTGTTAAAACTATTTAAACTTACAAAATTTTTATATATTTTTATTTTATTTTTTTTCAATTTATCGATGTCTACTTTCAAAGCAACTGTAGTTTCTATATCATCAGCATGGCAAAATCTCACCAATCTCACAAATTCTCTTCATCAATTTTTCTATTTTTTTATTAGCATTAATAAATATATACAACAAGTACATATACTTCAATATATTTATATTTGAAAAAGAATCAATATTAGGATCAGATATAGTCAGGCAAACACTTGTTAATTTAGTGAAAGGACTTTGCAAATAGGCAATATACTCCTCAGGGTTATTGTTTTTCAATAACACAAGAAAATGCAAGGCAGCAATATAAATTTCTATATATATTTAAAAAACAGGTATTAGCTATATATATACATGTACAACTTGTCAATGCAACAGGGAACTAAAAGCCTAGCTGCAAGTTAAATTGTCAACAATCCAATTTGCAACTATACAAATACTTGCTTAAATTTTTTGAGAGCCCTGCTTTAGTCCAGGATTTTTCACTGAAGGTAGCAGTAGTAATGTAACAAATTTAAGCTTTCCTAGCATTTTATCAACAAAATTTAATATATTAGTTTAGGATTTCCCACTGGAAACAATATCGACTTTATCGACAACAGCTAGTTGCACTTTTATAAAGGCCAGCCTACAAATATAGTCCAGGGTTTTCTACTGGAGACAACTTTATAGACTTGACAGGTAAAAGGCTTTTTGATTTTTGTTCTTCTCTTCAATTGATTTACTCACCATTAGCTTCGATCTGTTTCTGTTTCTTCAAGATATGTATCATATTACCTATACCAGTATTTTAGAAATAAATATAAGGTGCAGCAATAACAAAATATCAAATGCCTTGTACTTACTTAACTATAAATATGGTGGAAACAATGTATCACTGTAAAGATATAGATAATAATTAAAGTGGCAAGCTATTTAGTTGATAAAAGATATCAATTAAAGTAGTTAAAAAAGGTGCCAGTTTATTTAGTCAAAAAAGAAAGAACTGAGTATATAGTTGTAGCAAAAGTAAAAGCAATTAATGTAACAGCTGTAAAAACATCAGCAAGTGATAAAAATATATCTTCGATTATAACTATATGATAGTAGGCAATTATATATATTTAAATAAAATTGATCATTTAGCCAATATATAAAGAGATATATATATTTTCTCAAAAACTAGCAAGAAACAGGAAAAAAAAATTTGCGGGCAAAAAAAAAATTCCTAGGCAAGATATCTGACAGTAGGGATGGTAAAGTGATAAAAGTAAAAGGAAACAAAATAAAAAATTGACAAAAAAATCAGAAAAAGTTTTTTTTTATTTATTTCTAATTGTGTTTTTTTATCATATATCACTTTTATATTAATCGATTTTTAACAATTACTATCTATCCAAACAATTAGCGCAACTTGCATCAATTGGCCTATATCAGTATTATATTGGATGCTATGGCAGTATTGTTATATGAGTACTGCAACACACAGGCTGCTTGCTTTGTTAAAATTTTTTTTTTATCTTAGAAAAAATCTAAATAATAAATATAGTTCTGACAATACATTAAATAATACAACAAAAAAAATAAAATTTAAAATAAATTATCAGCATTTCTTGTCAAAGGCCCTTTCCACCATGATCTCAAGCATATGCATGCCCTAATTGTTTTGTCTAATAGCTGATTTCTTTTATCAGTTATTAAATTTTTGCTCACTGAAAAGACTTGTTCCAATGAAACACTTGTTACAGGTGTTTCCAAATAATTATGTGCAATGAGTACCAAATATGGAAATTGATGTTCATGTATTTTTCACTACTTTAATATATCGATTTTGTCACCCACATTTGGAAGAGAAAAATATAATTGCAATTCATTTAGTTTTTCTATATGACACCACTTAAACAACTTCAAACTAACTATCACTTGAATATCTTTATCACTGCCTGATACAGTTATTTTCTATACCATGCTTTTTGTATTTTTGAAAAGCTTCTAAAAAACTTTAAAATTGTAACATACTTAATATTTATTTTATCATATTTAATAAAATATAAAAATATACACACCTTTCTTTAATTTCACTAACCATTTTTTTTACTTATTCATTTTGTAATATTCTATTTTAAACCTCAGATCTAAAATAATTGCCAGCAAGCTTGCTTTATTAGTTTTGTTATAGTATTCTTTAAATTTTTCTAAACAAGCAACAGCTACTTCTTTTATTGTTTTATCAGCTTCTTTTTTACTGTAAATATTTTCTAAATGGTTAATTAATGTATAGTATTATACCCAGGAATAGTTGAGGAAAGTGTCAGATAACTTGAAGCTGAAATTATTTTTGTTATTTTTTTAAACTATCCAAGCAATTCTATAACCTGCTTGAATATATTCCAATTATCATCAGTAAATATATATTGTTTTAGTTTCTGGCTTGACATTATAATATACTTGATTGCCTATATATAAATTTTTTAAAATTAAAATTAAATTAAATATCAATAAAAATAAATTAAATTTATTGCTTTTAGCTATATAGCATGGGCCATCATTTTATATGTTAAATTCTAGCATATTTCTATATCCAAAATTAGTTTCAAAATTTTTATTCCTAGGGACTTGCAAGTTGTATTTAATTTTTTATATCGCTAAAGTGATAATTGTATTTTTATGATAAGCTCACGCAACTATATATATATAAGTTAGTTACAGATATAAAAATAAAATAACCTATCTATA